AGAAGCTTCTTATTAACACCTGCCCAATAATAATGACTCAGTTATACTAAATAAGCACAGCGACCTGCCCTACCAACACAGAGCTTCACACCCACCTGTGACGCAGGTAGGTGAAAGGCTCAGAAAAGGTTCAGTACACTTGGCCAAAGTGCCAACAAGTGCCCTCGCTTGGGATAACTGCTTCCAAATCTCTGCCCTCAAAGAATCAGCCTCAACCTACTTAGAGCCTCTCAGGCCCCAAATGAGCCTGAATAGGGAAACGGATAGATGGCTTTTAGTATCTCTCCACCATGAGAGACTGTGTAGCCACTGAAAAGGAGAGGTATACCTCTTAACTACTCTAATGTCTGAGTCACAACCGTAAGTGAAAAAAGTAAGGTGAAAATCAGTTTTGGCCAGGTACGGTGGCTCATGCCTGTAATCCCAGCACTTTGGGAGGCCAAGATGGTTGGATCAGGAGTTCGGGACCAGCCTGGCCAACATGGTGAAACCCCATCTCTTACTCAGAATACAAAAATTACCCAGGTATGGTGGCACGCACCTGTAATCCCAGCTACTTGGGAGGCTAAGGCGGAATAATCGCTTGAACCCAGAAGGCGGAGGTCACAGTAAGCTGAGATTGTGCCACTGCACTCCAGCCTGGGCAACAGAGTGAGACTCCATCTCAAAAAATAAAAAATAAAAAATTTTAAAAAAGAAAATCAGTTTTTATGGAATAATGGCTTTACAAAATACATATGAATTTCCAGAAAAGCAAAATCTTGAGGCATATTAAGTGAGCTATCAAAAGAAATTGTCTCTGGAGATGGAATTAAAAGAGCTTTTTACTTTTTACATTACACAAAATATTAGAATTTTTGTAAAAACCACCTATCATGTTTGCAATCAGGAGAAACTATACATATATGAAAGGATTTGGTACGATTTAAAAAACAAAAAGCTTTCTAGGAAGTACAGATTTCTCCAGGATGGTCCTGTTTCCTGGATTCTACCCCGGTACGTCTCAAATCCATTGCTTCTTCGTCCCCAGGGCCTTTGCCTAAGTTCAGAGCTCCTTGCCTCTCCCTGGAGTTGTTTAAACTGCCTCACCACAGTCCAGTTTGTGACGCCATGTGAATAACAGGGATTTTTTGTTTTGAGATGGAGTCTCACTCTGTCACCCAGGCTGGAGTGCAGGGGTGCGAACTCGGCTCACCACAACCTCTGCCTCCTGGGTTCAAGTGATTCTCCTGCCTCAGCCTCCTGAGTAGCTGGGATTACAGGCACCCACCACCACAAGCAGTCAATTTGTATATTTAGTAGAGATGTGGTTTCACCATATTGGTAAGGCCGGTCTCGAACTCCTGACCTCAGGTCATCTGCCTGCCTCAGCCTCCCAAAGTGCTAGGATTACAGGCCTGAGCCACTGCACCCAGACTATAACAGGGATTTTTTAAAAAATGCATTATCTCAGCTGGGCATGGTGTTGCATGCCTGTAATCCCAGTACTTTGGGAGGCTGAGGTGGGCTGATCACTTGAGTCCAGGAGCTCAGGACTAGCCTGGGCAACGTGGCAAAACCCTGTCTCTACAAAAAATACACAAAATAGCCAGGTGTGGTGGTGCACACCTGTAGTACCAGCTACTGGGGAGGCTGAGGTGGGAGGACTGATTGAGCCTAGGAGCAGAGGTTGCAGTGAGCCAAGGTCACATCACTGCACTCCATCAGTTTTGGCATGGGCAACAGAGAAAGACCCTGGTCTCAAAAAAAAAAAAAGAGCCGGGCGCGGTGGCTCACGCCTGTAATCCCAGCACTTTGGGAGGCCGAGGCGGGTGGATCACGAGGTCAATAGATCAAGACCATCCTGGTCAACA